ATTTGACCCAAAGTTGGTAATTTTTAAATTCTTTTTCCTGATTACATTGATGCATCAGAACCTATATATTTTTTATTTTAGCCATGAACCAAAAATAAAGATCCTATTTTTTACGGTTTGTAAATAGTAGGCCATGTATTCATGGAGATTTTGTTTAATTTATTGTATTGTATCCATGGCAACCGATACCAATCAATAAAAATAAAAATTTGAAAGTATAATATCTATATAATTATAAAAAAATGTAGGTTGTGAAACATCAATCTGATCAGGAAAACGAATGCAAAAAAATGACGTTAAGATATACAGGGTGTTGCATTTAAAAAATACCAACTTTGATTTTCACTATGTGCGATGTGATTATCTTTGCTAAAGACATTTGAATTTTTCGATTTTTACTACATGTGATATGTTTTTCTTTACTAGAAGCATCTATAGTTTAAATTTCAAAGACATGTCTGCATAAATAAGGAACACTGCGCACATTTAATAACAAAATTTTCGAAGGGTTTTTATTCGCTCGGCTCGTCAAAAAGGCGTTCACGTATGTAGATCAAAAGTAGTTTGGAATTTTCCTCCGCAAGTTCCGCCGTTTAGGAATGCGCTATCGTGGGATAGGATAGGGATTGGAAGATTTTTGTAAAATCAGAAAGAGCAGTCGCAGAAATTCAAATTGGTTAATTCCGTGCTCCTATGCGTTACTCAAATTCAAACAAAAACCTCAATTTTGAGAGTTTTAGGGCACCGAAAAAATGTTTGGCTTGGTCCCCTCTATCACCCCATTTTTTTATATAGTTAATTTTTTAATACAAATTTAAGAAAAATTTACATCTGAATAATTCGCTCCCAGAACATTAAGCCCCCATGTATATTCGCCAAAAGAATAATTATTCGCGGAAATTCGCCTACATTAGCCCCTAAAATATTGTCCCGCAGCCGAAAACCCGCACATATAATATTAGCCCTTAAAGAAACTAGTCTCCCAGAAAAATTTGTCTCCGCCGAAATATTCGAATAATTGCTGACAAAGAACTTGCCCCAAAGAAAATTCACGGCCAAGGAACACTCTCTTTTTTAAGTATTTTTTATTGCGAGGGGACAAAAGATTTCTTCTCAAAAAACCTCATGGGGTTCGATTGTGATCCATAGTTGTAGGTTTGTGAGCGTGAAGTGCGTTTTATGATGTAAATGTAAGAAAAATTTTAAGTCAGACCATTGAGTAATTAAATCTTGAATCAACGGTCAGACGATGGTAAATTACCGAAACTATCGCCTTACGACAGTCCTCCCAACCGTTTAAGCCAGAAAATGGGAATTCGCCGAAATTAAGCGACATCTCATTGAATTTCTTCCGCATAACTAAAAATAACGGCAACCATTTAAGTTATCGTTTAATCTATACCATGGTGCAACTGCAAATAGGTATAATTTAATGGATGGGATGACGTTGTATATATAATAATAAAAAACAATTTAAAGTAGAAATATGACCCTACATACAAGGGTCGTTGATTACATTTTTGGGTATGGATAAGAACTTTTTGATTTTTTTCAAAAATGAGCTCCCTTAAAATAGGTCACCCAATGGGCGGGAAATAGGAAGTGTTCCAGCTAATATTTACTGGCTATCTGAAGAGATCATTGAAGATCCAAAATAGTTTCTGAACACTCGGAAAAACAACAACGTTAAGGAATTAATATTCTTCTGAATAAGAAACATAGAGCAGTCTACGCACTCTACGCATACGTACACCTGATGTTTAAGATATGCGATATGGGTCAGGTGCCAAAGCTATAAGCTACCGAATGCAAAAAGAACGAACTAAATATCTTGAATTACCCATGGAGAATGGAAACTGTGCTTCTTGATTTGTGATCATATTTGTTATCCTTATTTAATTTTATTTAGTTTAGACAGATTCTCATTCGGAATACAACTATACAATTACAATTACAAAATGGAAAAATCATCAACCTCCCCGATGATGAATTTTCGTTGCAAACATATCAAGCGGTTAAAACTCTTATTTTGAGACCCAAAAGCTACATCAGAAACATGCCATCCTGTACAGTAAAAATAAATTAATAAAAAAGCTTATATATAAAATGTTTCCTACAGAAGTAGAGGTAGTGTCATTGAAATTTTATTTGGTGCCAAAAGCGCGATACTAAAGCCGTAAAGCGTAAATGGTAAGCAGCAGCAGTGCAGTTATCATAAGAGTTTTTTTAGGGATTTGAAAACCATTCCTATCTGGGTAACATTTGGATTTTTTGTAGAAGGAAGAAGGATGGGTAATTAATCTAAATAAGGACAAATTTTGAAAATATGTGCATTAGTCTACTCTACCTCACAGTCGCACTGACGTGATTATTAATTGAAAATATTTTTTCCCACGGCGACGTTCCCATTTATTTAATGTTTCACAGAAGGAAGGACGTTTAGTAAGGAATTCGTCGCAATTTCTACATCCACATATGGGACTGGGACAGGCACGTGGAAAAGAAGCCGCGAGCTTCCAAAATGTAAAATTTTAGTTACATATCCAATTAACAATGACAGATGAAAAGAACAAAAGAAAATACAATGACGAGTCATTTCAGTTTCTTCATTATTATCGTAATTTATTACCAATTTTTTTTTATGTAACATGATCTTCAAACAAAACGCTGCAGATGTTCCTCAAAAAAATAATCATCATATGATATCTCTATAACAAGTGCATGACAACTATAGAATAATGAGAAAAACGCTTGCACTGACCTTTGGATAATATTATAAATACATATAATAAAATATTATGTCAAAGCATGTGAATATCGAATACAGACTTCCAATTAGATCATAAAGAAAAGATTACCAAGTATTATTTGACCTAATTAATCACGAAAAACCTAAATAAACCACTTTTATAACTGTATACACATATGTGGTTTTAAATATATAAACAAACGCATAAAAAGATAGTGAAACTAGAATTATGTCATCAACAATTTCAAAAAAAAAACCGCAATGAAACTGTCGATGATGTAAGATATGATCTCTAGATCATAATGCCATTGCCGCAATTATCTTCTAGATTAATGAGAATTGCAAACCGCTGGCATCCTACAGTCTGGGTGTCAACTTTTAGGTAGCAAAACCAAATGCATGGTGGTCGAGAAAAAAATGCAGACACATTTTTCATGGGTTTTGCATTTACAGTTCTCATACGAATGCTTTCGGTTTCATCTCTTTTTTAGTGGGCGAGTATGAATCATTGCCTCAAAAAATTGCGGACTTGCTTTTCAGACCATCTGTATCTGGCACAAGGAAATCACTTTCAGGAACTATTAAATTAATAGAATTAGTCAACTGTTGGAAAACAAAGAGTACGTTAAAATTTACATGTGCTATAGTTTTACATTCCATAAACTTTGATTGCTGTTCAATGCACCTATAAAACCTGCTCGTAAAAGCTATAAGAAGACAGGTTTGCTAAAATACAGCCCTGTCTGCCGAACGCTTTTCTTTAGCCTCGACTTTAAATCTTAGTCGGACGCGGACAAGATGATTGCATAATGTTTGTTTTTTGGTATGCAAATATGACTAAACTTGGTCACATTCCTCCATACATGGGCAGCTTCTCTTCGTAAAAATCTGCTACTCTCGATCCCGTTTTAACAACTGAATGGATGGGATTCTTAATGAATTATAATTATATTCACGATAATCTTTATTTCTATTTACGGATTCTCAGAAGTTAAACAACACAATTAAATTATCCACTTTTCAATGACATCTGACCGAAATTGATTCGCGTCGGCTAATTAAATTGGATATCTGTGTAGCGATTAATGAATAAAATTAATTGCGGGTCAAATTTCCTGTCATCCCTAAATGCTGTTGATGGTGCAACTCGAGCACGCGTTGTCAAATAGAGGGAGTTTTGAAATTTCCCATGTGACAATCTGCGGGTTATCAGTGTTAGAAATATAATTTTTGGCTAAAAGTACTTAATTAAAATGATGGGGTCAAACAGCAGTGATTTTCGATGACAAGAAATGGAAAAATCGTGCACAAAAGCTAATAATCATATATCTTGAAAAACCTTCACCGACTTCCCGGTGTTTTTTGCATGGAATACATTTGCAAGAGTTCAATTAAGTAATACTACTAATTATGTCCCGAAAGTGGGCGAAAAACCCACCTTGTTCTACCATAAAATGTGTCTTTCTAACTTTCAATACCAGATACTAATGTGCTATCAATTTACTCCTCTTCACAGGTCGGTTGACAAGAATTAATGCAATAAAAAATCCTGAAGAAAGTACCAGATATCTTTAGGATCAGAGTAAATCTGAGATGGTCACACTTTTCTGTCGCCAATAATCAATCTATAAATAAATAAAATTCGTTCGTGTTGTAAATTAAACACATTAATTAAACCAAAAGGTCAATGCGGAAAACATTTGAGTACGTTTTGTCTCAAATTCCAAAGTTTGATCTTTTAAAAACGCCGCAATTGATCGCGATCAATTTTTGATCCGTACCAAATTGCTAAGTTTTTCCGGACAGGTTTGAGAGAAACCTAATTTTTTTCGAAGGACCAATTAGAAAATGGACTTTTTTAAGGAAAGCGTTACAAGAATAATTAATGATTCTTATAGTTAACATAAAAAGTGTCATTACCCCCTGCCGTTCACAAATGAGCTTAATGAGAAAGCAAATTCTTTACACATTTTTTACAGTGTGGAAATTTAATTACAGATTTATTATTATTGGCGGTAAATGGGCGCCGGTAATAAATCTACATATTTAAACTCTTAGTTGTATGCACCGATATATAAGTAAAAATATACATTTTATTTATAGGACGCACACCGCATCACTTTCGTGTGCTGACAGGAGAATCAACCCCCATGAGTAACACTGACAAGATTCACCCCCAATTGTGCTCTCAATTAATTAACATAAAAAATTACATGCGACTTAATTTATATAAAAAATCAAAATTACTTACAAAAGAATATGTGCTTTCAACGAAAAATAGTAGTATTAACGCCAAGGCGGCGGTAAACGCCCGGCAACATCTCGGCCACGGCGGCATGGCTTACTGCTCCATGTTCTTCGTTATCCAAATCTGCTGCTGATTCTCCCACTTTTTTACGTTTCTGCTTTTTGTAATCCTCCGCCGATTCAAATTTCAATTGATTATTAATTGAAATTGATTGAAAAATTGCTGAACTTTTCTTAGGATTCGGGCTTAGAAAGGTAATTGTGGCAGATCGGTCGTATAATAACTGTAAAAACGGCCGATAGAAGGAAGTTGCTGTAATGTACGCAGGTCTAACTTACGGGCGTAGTTGCTACTTGTAAGATTAGGGATTTTGTGCGCCTCTGGGATCAAGACTTCTGCGGAGGGTCTTCAGTATCGCGCGATACCGCGTGTGCAGTATCACATAGGATTAGTGTTGTGTTTAACCCCATAGGGGTAAACGGTCATTATGACCAACAACGGACTGCGGTAAGTTTTAAAAATTTTTCAAATTTATGTTGCGCTTCCGTTTTCGAAAAGCCGAAAAATCAAAACGCGCTCGTAAATTATACGAATTTTTTCGGTGATTTACTAACGTTGCAATTTATCATGATTGAATTTTAATTTGCAGGTTGCTCGCGTCCTTCTTAGGGTTGTTAGTGTGCGTTTCCGCGGTAAGTAATTTTTAAACCACCTGTTAACACTCTTAAACCTATTCACCCTCTCAGCGGGACTATTTGGCCAAGTTTATGCTCGTAACCGGATATTTGATTTATGATCATTGTCTAACAGCAAAATTCACACGATGTCCCATTAAATATTGACAAAAAAGAATTCTTCAGATTTTCTAAGAATAGGTCCGCTATTATCATTTTGTTGAAGAATTCCAGAGCAATCATAATGGGTGTTAGACCCTATAGAAAACGCACCACTTTTCAAAAGCGTTGAAATATCTTTTGCAAGGAACCGCTTGCTATATATTTTTTTAAATTCGTATTCACGTTCCGCAAGTTGCATCAATTAACTTCTGTATACCTGTATCAAATTGCTCGAATTCATTTATAATTGCAATTTAATCAAAAACGACACGGACCTACCGCATGGCCGTGTTTTCATTATAGAATTGAGTAATTGTGGAGTAAAAGCCCATTATTCTTACTACTTCCCATAAGTGCTATTTTTTACCGATCGGCAACACAGAATGAATTATGGTTGATTTGATTGAAAGCCGAAGGCTAGTAATTTAACGGCCCCATTCTAAATTATATTACCATCCGTGTTGCATTATTTGTACACCATAATTGGTTACCGTTTAATCATTTTCTTCGACCCAGTGCCGTATGGTTGATACGATTTCTTGAAAATCGAAATTATGGAGATGTGATCAGTTTTCACATGAAGGACAATTTCTTGCGTAACAGCTGCGATAACTACATTATTTATACATTACATAATTGGCAACTTATTTAATTTATTTTGTAATTTAAAATTAAATATTTCCATGTGCGTGAAGGGGTGGCATACGTACCCCCCCCCCTCCCTCACCCTTCTCGCTATAAAGTTAGTTTTGAATTTTTTCTAAAATTCTATGGGAGTTTGACGAAAGAAGTTCTGAATTAGGTACTATATGAATATTTTTAATTTTTTTGAAAGGATGTTGAACCATTTTTACTCTGGTTACCGTTTAATTAAACAACCGATTTTACACTATTTTTACTAAAACGGTGGCTAAAGGTTCGTAAAAGTTCAAATTCGCTGAGATGTATGTGTAGTTAAAATTAGAATTGAATTAAAAAAAGTAGGAATGCGCCTGCGCAAACATAAAAAAGTACGTTTTTTTTTCATTCGTGGCGATTTTTCAGTTTTATAGGACAAACTCAAAAATAATGCCGAAATGATAATCAAGATGGCGGCCAATACTAACTTACTTTTGGAAAATTCATCGTTAAAAAGAATAAAAATAATCTAAAAATTCAATGCTTCGCAAATTCACATAAAGGTTTTTTTGTTGACGCGATATTGAATTTTTATTCTTTTTTTTACCGATAAAATGAGATATTTGTTTTTTAAAAATAGACGTAATTTTTAATGCCACATAAAATTTGACCCAATCTCTATCTTCAATGATAACAAAATTACCCCGCCCGATCTGACACACCTTGGAGTAAAAGGTAAGTGCATTTCTAGGCGTGTCCTTTCGATTTTGTAAATTTTTTTCATTCATATCCCAGGACGACGAACCCTAACCCTAAGTGCGAAACAAAATTCGGATATCGGGGAAATGTTGTCTCCAGTGGTGTCTGAATAATACCTAACGAATTTAAACTTAGATTTTGAAACTTTTAAAATTCTTTGCAAAAATCATTCGGCAATTTTGTTGTTATGTAAATACACAGCAAGTATGCGAAATTCTTCCCGTTTTTGTTGTTTGGTCAAGAATTGCAGTTCTAATTTTTTTCGAGTTTTGATCTCTGCGTAAGCATCAATCATTTACAAATTCAATATTTCGCAAATTAACAAAAAGGATTTTTACTTGATTAAAATGGGAAATTTGATTTTTTGATAATAGGCGTTGTTAAATATTTTTTAAACATAATTTTTAATCGGGCTAGGATTTTTAAATTTTTTAAACCAAATTTTAAATGGCACATCAAATTTGAATATACGTTGTAAATATTTTAAAAATAATTTTTAATCGGACTAGAATTTTTAAATTTTTTCAACCAAATTTTAAATGGCACATCAAATTTGACTGGGAATAGGCGTTGTTAAATATTTTAAAAATAATTTTTAATTGGGCTAGGATTTTTCAATTTTTTAACCAAATTTAAATGGCACATCAAATTTGATTAGGCGTTGTTAATTTTGTATCTGTGTGTAGGAAAAGTTGAAAATTTCATACCCAAGTAAAACCTTTAATTCCATTTTTTTGCGCTTATCGAGAAAAAGAAAAGGCATCTATACATCTTTCAAAATATCATCCCATGCTCATCATAGTTGGATACACCACTAGGTCTGCTCGATCCAACCTAGGGATATAAAACGCATTTAGCCTCAAAAGTTTAAAATGAAATCACGAAAAAATTCCCAACGTTTACACATACATAGGTACCACAAATTTTCGAAATTAGTACACCACGATGATGCTCCCTAAACGGGAAAGTCAAAAAATTTGGTCTCTATGAGATTTCATTCTAATTTTTTTTACACACACTTGTTGTTACACCCTGTATAGTGTTCAACTTCACTGTAAAGGACGTAACAAACATTCATAGCGGTTTTAAGAATGAAAAGCCACATCGACTTACGGTTTTTGAACTTTTTATTCAAAAAGTATAGGGATACGGATTGTCACCCAATGACGTACATATATTTTTTATCTCTACCAACTGTGCAAGTTCTTAAATTTCTAGGTTTTTTTAATTTTCAATTTCTCTAAAATGTTCTAATTTTTAAAATTTAAATTCTTCGACTTTTTGGGAGAGATGCTTGATTTTTTTAAAAATTGTTCTGACTTTGGATTTTTATATACGTGGTTGTTTTTCGAACGATCTTCATTTAAACTAAAAATTAAAAAAAAATAAATTTGGTCGGGAATCAAGAAACACAATTTCCATTCTCGATGGATGATTTGTACAGTCTTTGTATATAAATGGTGCTCTTAGAATATTTAAAGTATTATAGAGGGTACACAACGATTCTAAAGTTTAGTTATAAATTCAGTGGATTTATTTTTATTTTAATATACGTACAGATAGAAACTCTCAGGCTGCGAGGGGACTCAACTCTAGAATTAGGGAAACCCAAAAATTCAATACGAAACAATTCTAAAAATTTAAAATAATTTAACAATCTGACAATCAAAAAATTCGAAAAAATTCAACCTGTTTAAAACGGCACTAAAATGTCACTACTCAGCAGAATCTAATCGAATGCTGTCGTTAGAGCGGTGTGTACGAATGAAATCGTCTAAGCTATTATTGTTTAGGATGAGAAAATCGTACCCCATAAATAAAAAAATATAAATTAAAAATTGAATATTTATAAAAGTCAGAAAAATTCATAACAATTTACAAAACTAAATAAATTCTGAGGGTATAAAACAATTTTAAAAAAATCGGAAATTTAGAACAATTTTACTTCTTTATTTTTTTTATTGGTTTATGTGATTTTAATATGGATGATGAAAGATGGACGAAAAGAAAAGAAACTTGTATGCGCAGGCACATTCCACTTATTTTTTTGTAAATATAGTTGAAGCGGATTCGACATGTATCAAATCTGTTTGGCGCATGTGCAGACTGAAGTCAAGGAAATTTTTCCGATTTCTATTAAGTGCATTTTAGCAACTCGAGCGAGTGAGATGGTTTTTGGCTTATCACTTGTTTTACAAGTAGATACAGTATTTGAACACTCCTATGCGTTTTTGTTAAAATTTTATCAATGAAGTTTGCCTTCAAACTTGATTTTTGCAAAAATCTGGTGCGCAGGACCTACTTGCATCGGCGCATAATAAGCGGTCGAGACATAAATGCATACTTACACTAATGAATGAATCAGCAACCAGGCGAACCTTGACATTGGTTAATCATAGAAATAGTAAAGAATATTAATAAACCAGTTTAATTTTACATACATACTCCTAGTATTTTTTGGCTCAAAGCCAAAATAAAAATTTCTCTCATACAACAACCTCATTTCATATCAAACGAATTCAGATAACTAGGACAATGTGGGGCCATTTAGTTCTTGATGTTTGTCTTAAATTTGATTTTGTTAAATTTTTTCGGTATCTCGCTCAAATAAAATGGAACTCAATTTTGTTAGACGGCCGAAGGGGACCGTGGTAATCCTCCGAGTTTCTTTTCTCCATCCACATAAGTGGGCATACTCTCTGAATTCAATCAATCTCGTAAATATTTTCCGAATAATAAGCGGTTTGAGAAATAAAGCAATTATTCTGATTTGATTACTAAATCTGTGCCCGATCTTTTCAGCAATTTTTCACATTATCAAGTGCAAACCGAACTGGATTGTACGGAAAAGACGATAGTTACAGTGGTAGACAAAATTATATAAGTAGTGATACGGACCGAACCCGTTTAGATCCATCAATATCATCCGATGGATCACATTCTTACGGTGCAGACGTGCATTATCCGCGTAACCCTTCCGAAGGGCAACCGCCGTCTGCAACACACGAGCAGGATCCTAGAAGAAATGAGGAAGACGACTCTGCAGAAGAAGACGACGATTTCGATGATCAAAATCGGGACGATAGGCAAGAGTATTACAATCATAACGCACCAGGTGGCCAATCATCGCGTAGATCATGGTATGAAACATCATCTGGGCACAGACAACCGGTCGATTACCCACCATCTGACAATGAGAACAGAGTTGATAGTGAAACCGATAACCGCTATCCTTATCATGAATCTTCAGCTACCGCTTCTCGTGGACAAGGCGATCCCAACAGCTATAATTACGGATCACACAGTCAGGCACCAGTGAATGTTTCCAGCGAAACGAGGTCGTATTATTATGAAAGTTCGAGCGGACAGCAAGGACAACCACCAAGCATTTCGGGACAAGCTCCAGACGAAGGCACCTATAGGCAAGGAGTTTCCAGATACGAAACCGGAGGCGGATCAAATCCATACTATGATCCTTCGAGGCCAGGTTCGCCGCAATCTCAACCGCCATATGCACATACGTCTAGTTCTTCGTCCAATTCTTACTACGAAACCTCCGGTGGTCAGCCAGCACCAGAATCACCCCAGTCGCCTGGATTGGACCCCTCACGTACATACTACTATGGATCGTCGAGTGGACAAGGTGCTCCAGGTGCGCCACAACCTCACCCGCCATCCGGCCATTCTTCCAGCTCATCAAGCAGTTATTACTACGAATCTTCAAGCGGACAAGCGAGCCCCGGTGGCGCACAGCCTGCCTCGCCTTATGGACCAGGAGGCGCATATCCAGGTGCGCCGCAACCATCACATGGACAAACGTCAGATTCACGCAGCTACCATTACGAATCATCAGGCGGACAAGCTGCTCCAGGTTCGCCACAACAACCGACTTCCGGTCAGACGAGTTCATCGAGCAGTTATCATTATGAGTCGTCAAGTGGACAGGCGTCTCCGGGTGCCCAACAGCCACCATCACCTGGACAAGGTTCTCCAGATTCAAGCTACTCAAATAGTTACTATTATGAGTCATCCAGTGGCCAAGGATCCTCACCCGGACAAGCACCTTCAGGCGCTCCCGGTCAATACTCACACCAAGGAAGAGGAGATGTCCGTACCGGATATGAATCTTCTAGCAGCCAAGTTTCTAGAACAGAACAGGACATTCGTGGCGCTTATCCTAGCGCTCCATACGCCGGAAGGAGACCATACGATAGCAGTTATGATGTTGTGGAAGCCCCCAACAGTGCTTTCGGACCTAAACGAGGAAATGAAAGATGCATACCTAAATGTTTTGCTGAGAAAGGAAGTAGAGTAAGTCTGTTCTATATTTTACATAATTCGTTTGACAATATCTTATTAAGGGCTTCCCTGGATTACCTGGTATTCCAGGAGAAAAAGGTCAGCGAGGATTTCCCGGCCCCGAAGGCGCAATGGGATCGAAAGGCGAAAAAGGCGAATACGGACCGATCGGTCCACGAGGACCTAAAGGAGATCGAGGCAAAATAGGCGTTCCCGGATTTCCTGGCATCAACGGCGTTCCGGGATTACAGGGTCCCCCTGGTGCACCCGGAATACCTGGTATGGATGGGTTTAACGGAACCGACGTAAGTTTCATATTTGCATATCCCACTTAATTTTACTAATTATTTGACACCAGGGTAGTTCAGGTGTGCCTGGTCAATCAGGAGAACAAGGCCCTAGAGGTTATCCTGGCAGCCCTGGAATGAAGGGAATGAAAGGTGAAGCTGCGCATTGCGAAATCAACTTGAAAGGTCAAAAAGGAGAGCCCGGACTTAATGGAGTGACAGGTCCGGCAGGTTTGCCAGGTCCAGTTGGGCCACTCGGAAATCCAGGAATAGCAGGAGAAGTGGGATTACCTGTAAGTTTCTCTCATAATACGCATATAGTATTAATAACAATGGCACATAGGGTCCAAGAGGGCCTCCTGGATTGAAAGGCCAAAAGGGTAACATGGGATTGGGATACGAAGGCCAAAAGGGCGAAAAAGGATCTAAAGGTCAAACTGGTATGAAGGGAGAAGCGGCCGTTTTACCCTTCGGAACTGACACGCATATTGTTGGACCAATGGGAGATAAAGGAGATAAGGGTGATCATGGTGACTATGGACCACTGGGGCAAAAAGGGGAACCTGGCCCAGAAGGCGACTATGGCATACCTGGTGGTGTTGGCATGAAAGGCGAAAAAGGATTACCAGGTGCACCAGGCCCTCGCGTAAGTTCCTAGATAAATCTAAACAATTTAAAATGCATGTTGTCTAGGGTAGAGACGGATTTCCTGGAATTCCGGGTCCTCTGGGTCAAAAAGGAGATCGCGGAGTTGAAGGATTGCCAGGATTACCTGGACGACCTGGTACAAAAGGTGAACCTGGAAGAGATGGTCCAGTTGGTCCCCAAGGTTTAAGAGGGCCACAGGGTCCACCCGGAGGTGGAAAAGGTAAACCCGGACCACCAGGACCTGCAGGACCTCGAGGGTACCCCGGACCTATGGGTCCAAAAGGAATGGACGGGTTCGATGGCGATCAAGGACCTCGAGGACCTATTGGACAGCCTGGAGGTCCAGGCGTGCCAGGTAGACCTGGACCAGAAGGTGCGCCAGGCGAAAAGGGACACAAAGGAGACTCTGGTGCAGTTGGTTTGCCAGGAGGCGAAGGTCCAAGAGGTTTCCCTGGTTCCCAAGGACAGCAGGGTCCTAGAGGTTTTCCTGGTGAAAAAGGTCTTTCGATAATTGTAGGTTATCTACAGATTTAAAAACGATTTTCTCGTCATTTATAAAATTCTCAGGGACAAAAAGGATCTGATGGACTTCCTGGTAGAGATGGATTGAAAGGTTTAAAGGGAGAAAAAGGTTATCCAGGGCCGCGGGGAATTCCGGGCGATTCTTTGGAAGGAATTCCAGGATCACCTGGTTTGCCTGGAAGACCTGGTGAAAAGGGAGCTGCAGGTAGACCCGGAAATCCCGGAATACCTGGATTGCACGGAGAAAAAGGAGATATCGGGGGTAGATGTCAAGATTGTTTACCAGGAGCCAAAGGGGAGAAAGGAGACCGAGGATTTGATGGATTACCAGGAACACCTGGAGCACGTGGGCTTCCTGGAGAAAGAGGATATCCAGGTGTACCGGGAGCAGATGGTTTATCTGGAGCACCCGGTGCGCAAGGACCACGCGTAAGTATAACAATATGCTTTAAGCATTTGATCAAATCCCATGCTTAGGGAAAAGATGGCATTCCTGGCAAACCGGGATATGATGGCGACAAAGGTGAACCTGCGTTTATACCAGGTGATTTAGTAAGAGCACCTAAGGGCGATAAAGGAGAACGTGGCTTGCCGGGGATAGCTGGTCCTCCGGGACCTATTGGACCTGTTGGACCGGTGGGACCATCTGGATTACCTGGTTTCCCAGGATTGAAGGGTGACACTGGCTATCAAGGCTTCCCAGGTCCTGATGGGCGACCAGGAGACACAGGAATACCTGGTGCCAAAGGTGAAAAAGGTGCAAGTATAAAGGGAGAACCAGGCTTCCCCGGACAAAAAGGCGCGGCTGGTTTTAAAGGTGACCCAGGAGCAACCGGTCCCAAAGGTGCACCAGGCTCGTGTCCCCAATCCTTTACAGAAGGATTTAAAGGAAATAAGGGCGAAAAGGGAGAGAAAGGAGAACTTGGTCCACCAGGTTACAATGGTTTAACTGGAGACAAAGGTCTGCGAGGTCTCACAGGTGAACCTGGTTCCCCTGGCCAAACTGGAGCACCAGGTCCTGTAGGTCAACGCGGATTGCCAGGTCCTCGTGGTGATAAGGGTGAGATGGGTCCTTTAGGATTCCCAGGAGAACCAGGTAAAGATGGTGATCGAGGAATACCTGGAATTCCTGGAACCAAGGGTGGTAAGGGAGAACCCGGGATATCTGCAATAGGACCACCAGGGCCACCTGGAATGCTTGGTCCCCAAGGAGAAAAAGGTTTGCCCGGATTCCCCGGAAAAACTGGATTGCCGGGGCCATCTGGCATGCCAGGTAAGACTTACTTCTATCTTTCAATTCAAATCATAATTTTTTGAACTGTGTGTAGGATTACAAGGAGAAAAGGGAGATGTTGGCATACCCGGATTGAGTGGAACGCCCGGTTATCCAGGACAGAAAGGTGATACAGGGCCATTTGGTCCACCTGGTGCGCCGGGTGCCCCAGGACGACCAGGTTATGACGGGCCAAAGGGCGAAATTGGATTTAAGGGAGAAATTGGTCGACCAGGGTTACAAGGATTCCCTGGAGAGAAAGGTGAACCAGGAGTACCTGGTGCAGATGGACCGAAAGGTTTCCCAGGCCCTAGAGGCGCTCCTGGAAAATCGGGATTATCTGGTGTCGATGGACGACCAGGAGAAAGAGGTGAAAAAGGGGACCATGGTTATCCAGGGCCGCCAGGACCACCTGGATTATTGGGAGCGCCAGGTCTACCAGGTTGGTATACGGTTTTAAGTAAGAGATGAATTTCTAATACATTAAATTTCTCTAAAGGACTTATTGGAGAGAAGGGTGATGTAGGACCAGTGGGCGGCCCTGGTCTTCCAGGTCAAAATGGATACCCCGGTGCCAAAGGTGAATCTGGTTTACCTGGCTTGCCTGGACTGAAGGGCGAAAACGGGGCGGCTTCAGAGAAAGGGCAAAAAGGCGAGCCTGGCATTCCAGGATTGAGAGGTTCACCCGGTCAGTCAGGACGAGATGGATTACATGGCGCTAAAGGAGAAGCTGGTATACCTGGTATTGGCATTCCTGGTACCCCTGGAGCGAAAGGCGAGCGAGGCATACCTGGTATTGATGGATTACCTGGTTTGCGCGGGCAAAAAGGGTTACCTGGTAAGTTAATAAGTAGTATGAACTTTTATTTATATTAATTAACGTTTTCAGGCTTGGCGGGACAATTAGGTCAGAAAGGTGATCATGGTTTAACTGGTGCTCCTGGTGCACCAGGCGTGGAAGGAATTGATGGTTTACCTGGAGAAAAAGGAGACATTGGTTTCCCTGGAATACCTGGATTCCAAGGCGCGAAAGGAGATGTTGGTTACCCAGGTCAACATGGTTTTGACGGCGCTAAAGGTGAAAGGGGAGCCCCGGGTCCTGCTGGACCCATAGGATTCCCTGGATTAGAAGGCAAAATGGGAGATCGTGGTCTTCCTGGACCACTTGTTAGTGTAAAAGGTGAAAAAGGTGAACCAGGAGCGTCTGGTTTGCCTGGCCGACAAGGTGAAAAAGGTGCTATGGGCTTTAATGGTGCAACTGGCATAGCTGGAGAAAAGGGAAGTGCAGGTTATCCAGGCCCTAAAGGTGACATTGGTCTACCTGGTGCTGCCGGACATAAAGGTGAATAATGCGGTTTGGTTGTGAATGCCTTTGCGACTATTACAAAACCTTGCAGGAGACAGAGGTTTCCCAGGTCAACCAGGACTTCCTGGTATAACTGTGAAAGGAGAGAAAGGTCTCCCAGGTCTTCCCGGAAAGAATGGCAGGGATGGATTACCAGGTATTGTTGGTGAAAAGGGCGACCGCGGATTCCCCGGTCTTCCCGGCGCGGTTGGAGTTCGTGGACCTCCAGGCCCAATTGGACCACAAGGAGAAAAAGGAGATCAGGGTGTGTCAGGCCTGCCTGGCGCGCCAGGGAATGATGGTTCACCTGGAAGACCTGGATTTGATGGAGCTTTCGGGCTTGCTGGAGAAAAGGGAGATCGCGGTCTACCGGGATTAATGGGTATTACAATTCTTTAAACAGTGTCAGCAATTGCTACAAAATCTTTATAGGTGCACCTGGACAGAAGGGAGAACGTGGGTTAACCGGAATACAAGGTCCTCCTGGTTTTAATGGCGAGAAAGGAGATCGCGGTTTGAATGGTTATCCTGGTGCGACAGGTCCGCAAGGTCCACCTGGGGAAAAAGGTTTTCCGGGTCCGTCAGGTCTTGTTGGAATTCAAGGATTCATTGGACAAAAAGGAGAGAAGGGAGAGATGGCAGTGGTGATACCCGGACCTAAGGGTGACCGAGGCTTCCCTGGCACGCCTGGTAGGCCAGGAGAGCGTGGTGCTCCAGGGTTAGATGGTCTTCCTGGACAGATCGGTCCTAAAGGCGAACCTGGTCCAAGCGGAAGAAATGGATCACCTGGGCCGGTTGGTGCTATTGGACCCAAAGGAGATAGAGGTTTTGATGGTTTGGCAGGAGCAGTTGGAGCGATTGGGTTCACAGGTGCAAAAGGCGAACCTGGTGCGTCTTGTGATGTGACACCTGACTACTTAACTGGCATATTGTTGGTCCGACACAGTCAAACTGTTGATGTTCCCACTTGTGAACCTGGCCATATTAAACTTTGGGATGGTTACTCATTGTTATACATTGAAGGTAACGAAAAAGCGCATCATCAAGATTTAGGATTTGCTGGGTCATGCATTAGAAAATTCTCCACAATGCCTTTCTTGTTCTGTGATTTTAATAATGTTTGTAATTACGCTAGTAGAAATGATCGATCATACTGGTTATCTACCAGTGCACCTATGCCTATGATGCCTGTTGAAGAAAGTGCAATTAGGCAATATATATCAAGATGCGTTGTATGTGAAGCTCCAGCAAACGTAATTGCTGTTCACAGTCAATCCCTGACATTACCGGAATGTCCTAGTGGATGGAGTGGTTTATGGATCGGGTACAGTTTTGTTATGGTAAGTTTTGTATCTTTATACCAAAGAGTAACCATAATACTCTTTGTTTATACTTTTACCAAAGAGATTATGGTTACTCTTTGCTTTTACTACATGTTTTACTGAAATATGAAGCAGTGACATTCATGATATCTTCGAACAAGGCGAACAAAGGAAATGCGCCTTGTCTCTTTTTTTAGATTCTGTTCTCATATCATCTCTTTTGATTTATAGCACACTGCTGCAGGCGCAGAAGGCGGTGGTCAATCACTGTCTAGTCCCGGATCTTGTTTAGAAGATTTCCGTGCGACACCATTCATTGAATGTAACGGAGCACGAGGCACTTGCCATTATTTCGCGAACAAATTAAGTTTCTGGTTGGCAACAATCGAAAGTAATCAGCAGTTCCAAACACCGCAAAGACAGACGCTCAAGGCAGGTAACGTACGAGACCGTGTAAGTAGATGTCAAGTGTGCATGAAGAACACATAGGAAGAAATGGGCACAATGAAATTTTAATTAGCACTTAGGTTCCACAAATTTTATGGTTCCATAAGTCATTGTAAAATAGACAATCTTTAGTTATAACTAAAAAGTCAATCGAAAATGGATCAGTAGTGTTCTTTTTAAACACCTTGTTGTGTTCAATTGAAAAGTTTTATTTTCTTATAGTGATGCGTTCCTTCGCTACTCCCTTTGTATGTAGTCATCTGATGTGATATGTATATGACAGGTGACTAAATACCTTGTGTATTGTAAAATACTTACTTAATAGGCTTTTATTGTAACATGCTAATTGATATATTTCGTGCCATTTTATTTTTTATTTTTATACACTCTTGAAAAGAATGTAAAAACTGTACCATAATAATTTACTTAGGTGCTAAGTTCTGTAATGTACTGGTATGAAATTACAAAGCTGAAGAGTTATTAATTAGCTTTAATGATCTGGATTTGAAAAGTTGACATTTTTTATTTGTAAAAAATATGTTTGTTATTTATAGTTAGTACCATGAAAATTTTATACAGGTTTGTCATTAAGGTAAGAAATTTAGTTTCTAGTCAACATATTCATACAAGCTTTTGTTATATTTAAAGTTCATAGTTTTTGCTCTGATAGCTCTACTAATAGTTATTGTATGTAAACACTGCCATTGTAATATAATGTAATACTTTAAATAATTATGGTGTTTGTCTTAATCCACCCCCTATGCTTCATAATTTGAATCAACTCCATACGTCTCACAAGCCGGTGTAAACAGGATTCAGGAAGTAGGTACAGTTTATGTTACCTACATTCAAATTTTTGGAGATTGTGTTTTATTAGTGTGTTGCACTGCCCAACTAGACTAACCCTGACGTAGGTGCTTTTTTTTGGAAGAGTAAATACTACAACTAGAAAAAATCTAATAGGTGATCTGCTCATTAGTCTGAGTACCGCTTGAATTTCTTGTGTTATTGTTTCACTCAGGGCTTCAAGTGTACATGGTTTGGTTATGTATACACGTTCTTTTAAGTAGCCCCATAGTCACAAGGTGACAGGTCCGGTGACCGAGGAGGCCACTCCACATCTCCACGCAACGAAATGAGGGGCCCAGGGAAGTTCTGCCTCAGAAATTCCATAGCTGCTCTGATGGCGATACCACGTGCAATGCTTCAGAGGAGTGTGGACAATTTCTACAACGTATACAGGAGTGTATGGACAAAAACGGACAGCATTTAACTGATGTTATGTTTCGTACGTAATCAATGTTTTAATTTTTTCCTCTTTAATTTTTATAATGGCAACATCTAAGGTACACATTAAAAAAATAAATTTTGAGTTTCGTTTAAAAATGAGTGTGTAACTGTTATTTCCAATCATCCATACCTCCCTGCCCAACCCTGTATCATTGAATTTATAAATAAATTCAATGCCTGTATAAATGGTTAGGCAACGCATTGTGCTCAGTTGTGAGGCGCTGCATTAACATATATCCTTCCACCATCTATTGTTGAAGGTATCTTATACCAGAAAATCTCTTTACTTTTATATTAGGAATCTGTTTAAATAAAATAGATGTCGCAGTAAGTTACATCTAACGTTTTAAAATTCGAAGATTACAGGAATGCAGTCATGTAGAGTCAATATACATTTAGTAGATCTTGATCTCTTCACTAAACTATTTAAACATTGAATGATTGTTGTACAAGTAAAGTGTTAGTTTTCCAGTGCGTCTGATTGATTGGATTGATATTTAAAAGAGGAACTGGAAAACTTACTTTGCTTACGCGTTGAATAGACTATTAAGAATTAAAAAAATGTGCTATTGTTTGTGTTTTGTCCGTCCGGACCCACTTCTGCCGTTTTGAACTACTTCTAGGCCTCTAGGGGAATGGTCCTAGAGTCCTAAAATTTGTTGCAGTAGGTAGAAGCCTATACCTTGAAGGTGTGCCAGACGGCCATCAAATTTCGCTGTCTAAAAGGGGGCCCCACGAATTATTTCCTGAGATGCTGTTTTTGAAAGTAAAACGTGCATAACTTTTACATACGACAACCAATTGGTCTCAGATTTTGCATACGCATGCCTTTATTGGTGGCAAGTTAAACTGAAAAATGCTCTACCCTTCATGGTATGGTAATGAAAAGTCTAATCGAATTGGTTTGTACAAACTATATACTTTACTTTCCCGTGCGACTATTTTTTGAGATCAGTGACCGATGGGGCTTGAGGTGGGGGGGGGGGGGGGTTAATCTCTCATTGTATTCTAATTAAAGCTCTCAACGAAAGTAACCGTTTTTTTACCAACTACTGCCCTTCTATCTGTCCTCTTATCAAAGTACGGGGCGGAGGAGGAGGGGGGGGAGTGGATTTCGGTTAAAAAAATGCGCTTTATCTGCACACGAGTTGTGCACAATTTATACTCGTTTATACCTATACCTATTTGCTCGAAAAGCTTCAATCAAAGTAGATTTATAAAAAGATTCAATTAGTGAAGAGAATATGGTCGATATTACAAGTAAATAGGTAAGAAATGTAAAGAAAAGTGATTCGCAAGATATGGCAGGTGCAGGATAAGAAACTATGAAATTTACAAAAGCAAAGTATAGGTACCTACCTATTTAAAATGATAAAACAATTCAATGTGGCCGAATTACCTATTTTATCTTGAAAAGCACAATTTTCAAATAAACGAAAGGGTTGACATTTAAAGATATCGACAACTGATCGCATTTTTCATGCAGCAGAACACTTTTTAATATTGCCAAATGAATCGAATTTTTGAAACTTCCCGAAAGTGTCAACCCAGCACCGAACCATTTAGGTCCACATATTGTAAATTGATTGTACCTATTTTCATAATTTAATAAATCGATTAGAATGATTTATTAAAACTATCATTTGAGCAGGAATTATTAGGAATTAGGACGTATACCTACTTTGATAATTAATCCTGAAGTATACACTACACTCATAGACTAAAAAAAACCCCATGCTACACTGTATCTAAGATAAGGATGTCTAAAGGCATAATGGGGATCTCGGAAACTATAGAAGATACAAAGATAGTCAAATAAAGGAAAAGGAAAATTAAAGAGTAATTATCATGCTGTAAAGATCAGAAAATTTCGATTACTTCCGCAAGATATACATTAAAAATCGAAATTTGCCGATTTTGTTTTTATTCTTTCGTGATGATATTTGAACAGATACAAAAAATGAAAAAATACTTTTTTTATTGCAACTTTTTGAGCTCTACAAAATAGCGTTAATGTTCGTACATTCGTAATCGTAATAACAATAATAAAATGTTGCACATGCAAAGACCTTTGAAAAGAACTATGAATCGCGGTAGGTACGAAGTCAACAAAACAAACATTAACATATAAAAACGCCGTCAATAGATGGCGATTACTGCACTAAATTTAAACTGTCCTCAATTATTTTGGATCACGGTGTATCGTGAAACATCAAGTACTAGTACCGTACCGTATCTCACTTTCAGAGTCTTCAATTTACCATTAAATTCTTTCAAATTCCCCTTAAGTTCATAACAAATCCACAAAATTCTTTTCTTGCTCCGCTCAACCTCCTCGCAATTTACTGATAAGCCGCCTTCGGGGTTTTCAAGTTTTGTTTCTTTTAAGCTTCTCTCACGTTTCCATCATCTTTCTGAGATTTCTCCCAAGTTCTCTTGTCGCTCAGGTGTAATGCTATGGGCGAAACATATGTAAGCCGTATTTTGTTGCACCTTGAGGAATATTTTTTTTCTTTTTTCAAAAGTGTGAAAATAAAAAGGCATGAGATAACTTTACAGCCGCGAGTTCGTAGGGCATACAAAATATTTGTAACTATCATAAGATTCAGCGCCACTCAGTTTCTTTGAAAGCTTCACATTTCCTTGTATAAAAGTCGGAAGATTCCGAGGAAAGTAATTATGAAATTAACCGATATATTACTCCGCAACAAACATGAATATAATTAAACTTATCATTTTTATAGCTAAATTGAGCTTTTTTTAAATAATAATCTTGGTTTAATTGTTAATCCATAGAAATCATCTTGATTTAGGATTCCCCTAGGTCAAGGCTCATATTCGTGGTATATGAATTTGACAGAAATGGACAGTAGTCTGAAAAATGTAGATAAATTTGCCCTGACTAGCCGGCTCCCGTTACACCGTGCTAATAAGGGCTGATTCTCCGTTGATTGAAGGTGTGGCCTGTACTCCACGTAGAACCACCACTCGGTTTTTTTAATGTTCTTCTTTGAAGTTTTTCAATATCTCTCTCATACGCATACTATAGCTGTACCATTTTTGCAATCTTCGTGGCAGTTAATTGTGTCATCTCCAATAGTTCGTGTGTCGATGGACTCGAGTGACCTCATTTCAGGGAATGTACCATGGCACTGAAACCACTCGCTGCCTCGCTGGACATGTTTTTGGTCTAATTTACTATCTTGGGTCACTAGCGAAGTCAATTCCACCTTATGGATAATCTACCACTGATCATTAAAGACCCTCACATCCTTTATAGTTTTGTACGGTTGCCCGCCCTTTTGTCCGCATGTTCGTCTCTGTTCGCTATAACTCTTACTTAAGATCCCCAGATAAAGTATTTAAAGAGTGTATAGCATTTAATTTTTGTCCGTCCGTGGGTTCGTCTGTCAGTCCGTGTGCGCTATACCTCGTCTTAAAGGTCGCCGATCGTGCTGAAATTTGGTGTGCGAGTACTTTGGACAGCGTTGGCGACGAAACACTAAGGTGCACAGTAGTGAGAGGATGCCCCCAAGGTGGGGTGTTATCACCACTTCTGTGGAACTTGACTGTAAACAGGCTCCTCTGTCGCCTTAATGACAGTGGCTACTATACGCTGGGGTATGCGGATGATATATCCATACTTATAACCGGCAAATTTGAGGCTACTTTACGCAGACTGATGCAATCAGCTCTTACAGTAACCGAAGAATGGTGTAGGGAACACTCCTTGTCCATCAACCCGACAAAAACGGAGATAGTTCTCTTCACAAGAAAAAGAAAGGTAGAGGGTATTCGAGCTCCCCTGCTATTCTAAAAACACCTCCAATTTTCAGAGTCAGTGAAAT